CCCGAAGTAAATTCCTGCCTATTCCTGTAACACAGTGAATTCCTGGTGCTGGCCATTTTGGGAGATTCACGACTGAATGATACATTTTTAAATGCTGGCCACGTAGGAAACTTTTTGTAGATGGCTGCTACCTCCCAGGCCAGGGTTATGGGTTGATGGTTCTATAGCACAAATCAGTACTCAGGTGTTTCTGGCTAGTTTCTTCCCAATTCCTAAACTTCCTCTTTACCGACAATTTAAAAACTTGGTTTCTCTAATTTATACCATCTCTGAGGCTCATGTCTGGAGAAATGTCTTTGGCTTCCATGCTAAATCCAGAAGCTGGATTTGTGTTGTTAAACTAGAAATTGCATTTTTATTGAATGAGGACCTGGCTGGTAACGTATTGTGATCGTACTCCAGGATCCTGGTCAGTCTATACTCAACAGGGTAGGTTTCAAAAACTAAAGTACTTTTGGGATAGACACTGTCAAAGATGCCTCTTCTCAAAGATACCCAGCATTAGTCTAATGAAATGACACTATAAATTATGTCAGTGTGAAGTGAAACACTTAGTTGTTCTGCTGCATAAAATGGGACTGGCAGCATCTTCCTCTCTGCCATGTGATATAGTTTCTTAATTACAGCCACAGCTGAAATGAGTCGTCTTTGGGAATTGGAATGAGTTCATATAAGCACTTACATTATCAGGAAATATAAATAGTTTATTTATTCATAGGGCAGCTACCATCTTCCTACTATAGGTTTTTGATGGACACTTGTGCTGTCTCAATCCACTCAGAATTCAAAATTGTTCTTTTGTGCAAGAACTTCATGGCAAAAGCACTATAATTTAATTTAGTATAATGTCTTTGAAACAATGATGTTTGTTTTTTAAATGAATATTTTATATGTTGTGTTTAATTAAAATAAGTCTGCTACTGATCTAGGAAACGCAAAACAGACTTGAGTTCGTATTTATGAAGTGTAACAATATTGGCAAGAAACAACTTATCTTGTTTATGAGACATGCCTCCCATTACCGCTACAGATTGCAGACGTTTTATTGCTGAGCTTTACATGGTTTACAATTCAACAAATGTAGCGAAACTGTCATCGTGAAAATAAGCCTATAAATGTAGGTTTGGAGGATTTTGTTTTTAAGGATAGTATTTACAGATCAAAATGTGTTTCCGGTAACTCTGCATTCTGAATGATTTCTTGCTTTAAATCCCTGTAAAGACAGAGCAGTCATGGCGAACGCTCTTCCAAGTACAAAAGGAAAACGGGTGAATTTGTTGCATCTATTTCCAAGTTACGTAGAAGTGACAAAGCTGGGCTTGACTTTCTAGAAAGGAGGAGACTTGAAAAAGCAAAAATACTCAAAAAGTATTGCCCGTGAATATTGACATTATTAGCTTTACTCTTTGATCAGTGGGGCTGCAAATGTCGGCTGTGGCCACCCCTCTGCTACGAGGCGCATCAGCCTGAGAGCTGAGCTCCTGCTGCAGCCCTCCATGGCTTTCGCAAGACTTTGCTCTAATTAATGAAAGCACACCCAGGTCAAAGCATGACTCAAAGATTTTATATTTTTCATTAAAACATCTGACAACACTAAGTATCTCCTATATCTAGCCATTTAGTTGCATATCTTTTCCAGGATACTCATTAACGTGGAGGATCTGTACTTCAATAATAATAATAGCATTGCAAGCTGAACACTCTGCTGCGAGAAGAGGTAATTAATTAAAGCAAGATCCTTGCAATGCCAGCAGATCTTATCCATTTTTCATGTAAGAAAAGGTGAGGTGAGCAGCGAAGCGGATGCGCCATGCTCGTACCAGGCGGCATGGGCAGAACGGTGACTGAAATTCATGACTTTCTCCTTCCAGACAGGGCGCGCAGGAGGTGCAAATGCAAACTCTTAGTGGTAGCTAGATGCTAGGAAAGTGGTCAGCTCGCTCAGTTGCCGGGGTAGGTTTTTATAAAAGATTGGTTGTTTTGTTGCTTCATATCCACGTTTATTCAATGGAGTCAAATAAACAGGAACAAAACAGAATAGGTTTAAGCTACCAAGTGGTGCAAACCTCTAAGCGCTATGGTGCAGGGTTGGTTTTTGAGACCTCGTGTCTGTCTTCTCTTCTGCTCTGTCTCATCCCAAGCATGTTCCATGCTGCCAGATTTCTTCTAAGGTTTTTCAGACGACTCAAAATCCCGAGATTCATTATCCGCTGACTTACTCATTTTTCACATAACAATATTTTGACCAGTTTAATCATCTGCATGGAGAATGTGGAAGTCTTGGCAGCTACTTGGCATACTAAGATAGATTCCCAAAAAGACCAGATATGCTTCTGAAATGTTGGAGAAGTGATGATATATAATTTGCTTATTAATCATATAGGCAAACAGAGTAGTATCTCTGCTCCTCGCTTACTTCTTTCCCTCTCCCCAATTCTTTCTTGTCTGAATACTTGCATCACTTAGGATAGAAATCTGTGCGTTGTTGTTTCATGTTTATTTGGCTCCATCTCTTCTTTAGAAGAGCAAAATGAGTTTCTTGAATGTTTTGCTTTGTTATTCTAGGTTTTTGTCATTTCTAATAAAGTTCTATCAGTACCTTTTTTAAATTTATGTAAATTTAAGTCTGAACAGCGTAGGTCTTAAATGCATAAGTAGTCAATAGCTTTTTAGCTGCTGCACACTAGACCCATTTTTCTTTTCATGTTCCCTTGAAAAACATAGTGAACTGTGCACTGAAGGAAGTTATGTGACCTTTATCTTCACTAGTCATAGTGATGATCACGCTCTTTTAACATTTCATACCTTAAATTTACAATATTTTTCTGAAATAAATAGGACTGCTCTAGGTAAGTTGGATTCTTCTTGGTGGCAAATCTATGAGAAATTGAGCTTGTATTAGACAAAGTCAAATGCCTTTTTCCGTGTGAAATGGGAGGCGGTGTGAAATAACACAACATGTAGGAAGCTAGATATTATGTGTTCTCTGATGTCTACACAGACAGGCAAGTATCAGTGCAGAAAGTGATTATTCCAACATATTTCATATCCATATGTTTATTCCTCCTCTTTTACAAGATGGCAGCTTGCATGTAATGAAAACATGTGCAATAGGCTTAGATCCGTTGCTGTGTGAATGCAGCAAGGTTCTTGAACAGGAGTGATCTTAATGTTGGCCTGTATCAGAGTTGAATGCCCTTCTGCTATGCTCATTATGGAAATCTTCAGTACTGGGTGAAGTGCCCAGAGTAGAGTTGTGGAGTAGGGACAGATAGGTGGGTCATTGGATCTAGCTGGAAAACACAAAGGAGAAAAAGGCCATGCAATGACTGACAGCCATGGCATTATTTATAGCTTTCTTAAATAGTTGCTTATTGAACTAGATAGAAAAGTATGAACTGTTGCAGTCCTGTGCTGAGATCTGTAGCCTGTCCTAGTCGGGCTCTTACTGGTGTCAATGAGCACAAATGCAGTGGAGGTGTCAAGCATTTTTTAGGCATGGATAGGGAAAAGTTAGTTGACTTCTGCAGGTGCAGAAGGAATCTTGTGAATGTATAAGTTAATGTAGATATTAGTTACCCGTCGTGTAAGGATGTGAAAACTACATTTGTAAATATTGTTCATTGTACTACAAAATTTGGGGTTTTTTTACATTTATGATGAGTTGTAGTACAACCTACTGGTTCTAATATAACTCGCTGGTAGGTTATAAGGTAGGTAGGCTATAACATAACCTACCGTAAAGACGACTGAAAGCCTTCATACTCACTTAGGAATTTAATATGCCAGATGTTTACTTTTCAGATGAAGACACACTTGAAATTTATGAATATTTAGATCTTATATATTACAATTAATTGAAGCAATTAGGCTTTATTCTCATCCCTTTGACTAGCAGATAAACATTTGAAAGTCACTTGTGTAAGGATTGCAATCAATCCACTAAAATCAATTCAATGGACATTTTTTTTTATTATTCGTGTTCAAAAAATTATCTCAGTTATGGCACTGATATGTAACACTCTTAATGCTCCTTTATGACACTCCACTAATGCTTCAAATAAATACTGTACACCCCTAAAAGGTTTGAGATGCCACAGAGCTTTACCTGGATATAAGAAGTCATTTTTTCCTCTCCCTTCATTTGGGCATTGTGCTTGTTTGCTCTTGCTGGTGGGAAGTTTCCCTCCCAGCCAGCCCTTCTGGATAAACCCCTGGAAACTATCAGGATACCGCCCGTTCAGGCTGCCCTGACGTCTCCCAGGAAGCCTGGCCCTGCCTGCACAAGGATGTGGTGGGTCCAAAAAGACTCCATTTAAATCCAACAGGTTTTCACCCCCTTCACTCTGGGTCCCAACCCCAGACACGGTTTAGACCAGAACAGAGCACAAGTTTGTTTAACAAATCTTAGCAAAAATGTAGGGAAGAGTTTTGAAGCTTTTGTTTGTTGCAAGATTTTACAAAAGAAAAAATTCAGTCTGAGTTAATTTGTCAGGAGCCACTTCTTTTCTTGTTGCCGAATATCTCACCTGGAATCCCTGTTTTGGGCAGGGGGGTGGCTGATCCATCTCTGTGGTAATCCTGGATCCCTTCCCAGCAGTCAGCTAGAAAATATTCCTTTGCAGTCCAGTAATTAGTGATGGCCTCCTCATTCCTTTCAGTGCAAATTTATCATTTATATTTCTTTCCTATCCTGGTTTGGGTTGGTTTTTTAGATTCGACCTCTTCCTCTGTTTTCAGATGCTTCTGGAATTTTTCAAGGTTCACTGCGGATCATGCAACAGAAAATGACAATAATTGCGTAAACGTTGTCTAAGTAGCGTGTGCTCAGACTTTGCTGTCACCCACAGCACCTTCGGACACGTTATTTTTTGCCAGATCCAGGAGCACAACACGGTGTCCAGGTACGTCTCAGACCTGAAGCCCATTAAGTTTGGCAGTAGAAGCTTTTTCTTCTAATGTAGCTGTAATCTCAGCTCCGGCTGGCTTGTAACTAAAAGGGAGGTTGGGGAGCTCTCTTTCTCTTCCCTCATTTTCTCTACTTCTGGTGCCTTCACTAAATTTTCTCCCAGGCTTTATCCTGGCGCTTTTACCCCGCTCTGCTCCCCAGCTTCCCTGCCTTGCCTCTCCCCCCTGCCGATCCTGCGGCTCCGGGGAGAGAACTTGCCAGCCGCAAAACACATTTCCACTGCCTGTCCTTCAAATGTGCCTCCTATCAGGGCGTTTTTTTGGGGCATTAAAGGCATCAGAGAGACCTATTTTAATTTCTAGTCCCTCAATCCATCTGAAGATGCCTTGCTTTTATGTTGGCTGCTACAAGTGCAGGAGCAAAAAAGCTTTTTACGTAGGAAAGATTTAGAAGAAAGGTCTCAAAGATGGTAAAGCTGTTCTGTTTCACTGGCACAGAGTCACTTCTAGTTCAGTTCAGACTTCTGGCAGCTCGTTAAGCCGCATAACGCAGGAGCTCCGTGTTGCTGAGATGACTTTTATTACGCTACATGCCTAATTATTTACTAAAAGTGTTCTTGGTCTTGCTTTCTAAGTCAGAGGTGCCTAGTTACCATGCACTTGGCAGTCACGGTGCTGTCTTTGTGGGCATTTTAATGTACCTGGAGAGCTGATAAACGCTTCAGATTCTTTTTTTCTTTTCCCATTTTGCTAACACAAATGGTTACCTATCCAAATATTTGACCATAAAACTGCCGTCAGATGTTGCAAGTGCAAAATATTTATTGGTGGAAATAGCCTTGAAATGTCATTTCTAATGTTTGGAAAAATTTAAATTTGGCTCTGATGGGCTGTCAAGAATGGTGCATACTCGGGATAATATTTACATCTCAAATGCAGATAGTAATAATAAGCAAATCCTCCCACTTTATTCTGTCAGCAACACTTACAAGTGTGCTGAAGCTACTGTAACACACTATCATGCTTTCTAATGACTGTAATTCATCATGTGAAGCTATCAGCTTGAAAATAAAATATTGCTACAGAGCGTGGAGATTGATAGCCATGGCTTATTTATTGATTGCACTGGAAAAATGAAAAAAAATGGGAAAAAAGAGGAATTTTTTCAAAGCTGATGGCACCATGATAACCAATTTAAAATCTGCCATTTTCTTTTTTACAGTTCTGTATAATGTGGCTGCAACATAGAAAGATACAGAAAATATGGTGTTATGTTATCATGCAAAAGCCAACTTCACATTATTTTTCTTTCCATATGTTTTTCAGTGCATTAAATATTTAAAGCAGTGTCATCACTCTTCAGAAACGAATATACCTGTCAACTCATCCTATTAGTCCTTTATGTCTCAGTTTTTCTCAAACTTTGAAGAGTCTTGAATTCCATAACAGAATTTATTTTTTTTTTAAATAAGAGGAAAGCCAGCTGAACAAAGCATGGAAAAGGGCCGGGTACCTTTTTGCCTAAAAAAGTCAGATGAAAGCTGATCTTCTTTTTTTTTACTTTCTCAGTTTGAACTGAGTGAACCAGATTTCTGGTTCCTGAGCTTCACGGTCCCTCTGCTAACGGAAGACCAAGCTGACAACAAAACTAAAGACCTTAGGTTGTCGGACGGGTCAGTGAAGCCTCAAATCAAACAAAAAGTAGGGGTGGGGGTGATAGTAACATTGGAGTGAATGCTACAAAATGGGCTAACAGGTCTGGTAATGAATTTGGTGCAGGGTAGGTCTCTCCTCTTCCCTACCTGGAAATGCTTGCAATAGCAACTGAGAAGATTTTTCCATAATTCTGAGTCACAATTATTGTGGATCAAATCATGTGCATTATATACTTCTTGCCAGGTTCCAATTTCAGCAGTTTTCTTTGGTTCTGAATTTGGTAGCCATAGTTACGACCACTGAGAAGTAATCTCCACTTCCGAAAAAAATATGACCTTAATGTGTTTTTGTGAAAGTAAGAAAGCACAAAGACATTTCCGAGTATCTGTATTTGTTAAATTCCAAATTGCCTTTCTAAAAATACAGTTATGAACTCCTTGGGAATTAGAAAGAAGAAATCTATTTCAGAAAGCACATTTTAAAGCAATTTTATGCTGAAATGAGTCCTAAAATTCTGGCCTTTTGTTCTTTGTCATGGAGACATAAGGAAAGAGAAGCCAGTGATCATCCTTAGGTTACAGCAATCAGAATAAAGAACGTTTTCTGATCTTCCTTCTACTTGAGCTTTTTCCAACTTTAATGGAACTCAGCATCTTTCTTCAGCTGCAAATTCAAGGACCAGACTCTGCTCCATTAATACCATTGTAATCTGCGAAGCTGGTTAACAGATGATTTGTTTAAGACTGTTCTAGCTCTAATGGCAGATTCAGATATGGTTTTAGGGTTTTAATCTTTTAATTCTTGCTTGCCTCCAAATCTGCAAGCGATTAAATAGCCTAAGAATAAGAAACAAATGTCAATGGTATAGCAGCTATACCTTATTAAAAAAAAAAAAAAAAAAAAACCAAATAAAAGCCCAACCAGCTTAATATTTTGGGGGTATTTTCCTATTAAAACTGGGCTTGAGATTTGGCAAGGAGCAGTCCAGAGCCATTTGTAGTAGTGGAATTTGTGTCACTTCTCATGTTCTTGGTCCAGCTTTAACACCAGTCAAGGGATGTTAGAAAAAATTCTTGATCTTTTCAAGATCTTGGGCAACTCAATCCAAAGCCATGTACTATAAAAGTACAAACACTCAAAATGTGACGTTGGAAGGATAGAATGATTGCATTACTTTTCTTATATCATTAAGAAAATGCCATTGCAATAAATCCTCCTTGTAAAAAACCTAAAGCATTTGGTTTCAGAAACAAGAAAAATGTCGCTAGGGAAATCGGTGGTTCCTGGCCTTTGTAACTATCACTGAGGAAATTTTCTGTGCTTCTTCCGAAGCTGCTCTCTTTGGGGATGGACTATTTGCAGTCAGGTTTCTACGTGGAGTATTGTATGATACTAGAAAAGTCATTCCGTCAGTCTCATCGTCATGTTACCTAATTCTTTACAGTACTGTGAGAGCTGTGGTGTGAATGTTTGATATATTTGTGGTAATTATAAAATTTAATATTCTGAAAAGCCAACAGAAGTTTGCGATGTAGAAAGCTTTTACTGAAGTGTTGCATTCTGCATTGCTTGCTGTAGTCCATGGTCATAAACGACAGAAGCTGTGGTCCTACTAATTATTCTAAATATTTATCAAATAATTGTAGCCATTCTTGCCACTTTGAAATTCCCACATGTACAGATAATGTCAGCAATACTTAAGAAATATATTTGAATAATTTTGAATATTTGATTTCAAAGACATTCATGTTCATCTCTCTGTTAGCTTCACAGCCCCACACAAAGACCCTACCACATCTAATTTCTTATTTTACATATTTTTGTCAGCATATGACATGTCCTGAAATTTCAAATGGACTGATTTACTTTGTTTCTAGCTGTATTTCAAGAAACTTGGTGTCTGTAGGTGGTTTTACAGTGTAAGCGAATGTTGTCAGAGAAATGTAATTCATTAATGATTTGACAAAGATTTAAAAGCCATTAAATCAGAAGGCAGCATGTTGTATGGTCATGATCTCTAATGACATGGGACATCTATGATAATGTAGATGAGGAGTTTTATGGTGGGCGAATACCTTCACTGGAGCCTTTCCTGCAGTTCTTCCAAATTCCTTCCAAAATGAGGGATATGGGGGAAGCACACATATAGAAATACAGAGAGTCATATAGAAATTAATTAAAAATATTTCCTGGGTAGCTCTATGCTCTATATTCACCTATGAGTTGTATTTTATAGTATTTTTAAAGTGTATTCTTCATACAGTAATACTGTTGAGTCTTTGCTAATACTATGTAGGGATGTGAAACAAATAATTCATATGAGAGATCTCAAACGAAGTTATCATCTGTGCTTTTCTAGACAAGAGAGGTTCAGCTAAGACTGTGAAGTTTGTTTTCATAGTTCTGCATACTTAATAATGTAGAAGTCTCCACATTTTATTATCGTTACCTACGGTGGCTATTACTAAGTGCAGAGAATGTTGGTAAAAAAGAAAATATTCTTAATACTAGAATCTAGCGTCTTCAGGGACTGTCAAGTGGAGAGAAAAAAGATATCAGAGCAAATAGTTCGACCCATCTTGCACCTTGGAGAACATAATCCAGGAGTGCAGCACAGACTGGGATCCACCAGACTGGGATCCACAGCAGCTCTGTGGAAATGGACCTGGGGGTCCTGGTAGCCAACAAGCTCCATAGGAGTGAGCAGGGCGCTGCTGTGGCCAAGAAGGCCAACAGGGTGCTGAGGTGCATCAACAAGGGCATCACCAGCAGAGGTAAAGAATTCATAATCCCACTCTACTCAGTGCTTGTCAGGCCACACCTGGAATACTGGGTACAGTTCTGGTGCCCACTATGCGGACAGGCTGGAGAGGGTCCAGAGAATGACCACAAAGATGGTCAAAGGACTGGGAAGCCTGCCAGATCAGGAAAGGCTGAGAGAACTGAGGTTGTTCAGCCTTGAGAAAAGGAGGCTTAGGGGACTCCTTATCAACATGTTCTTGTATTTAAAGGGTGGCTACAAAGAAGATGGAGACTCCCTTTTTAAAAGGAGTCACATGGAAAAGATGAAGGTTAATGGGTACAAGTTCATCCTGGGGAGATTCCAGCTGGAAATCCTCCACAAGAGGAAAACATTTCCCAATGAGAACAGTCAACCATTGGAATAATCTCCCCAGGGAAGTGGTGGATTCCCCAACATTGGACATTTTTAAGATTCAGCTGGACAGGGTGCTGGGCCATCTTGTCTAGCCTGTGCTTTTGCCAAGAAAGGTTGGACCAGATGATCCTTGAGGTCCCGTCCAACCTGGGATTCTATGATCCTATGAAAGTTTTCTGCAAATATATGTACATATATACATGCAGATATACCTACATATACATGCATGTATATACACACACACGCCCTCCCCCCATAGATATAGATATATCTATCTATACATATTACTCTGGTGAGTTCCAAAAATATGTTAGTTAAAAATAAATAAATCCAACATGTCCAGTCAAGGATTTGTTTTAAGCAGAAACCATAGCTCCCAGGACTTTGTTACATTTTAATTTTGTTTTTGTACTACAAAGAGAAGCCTTTGTTTGCACTCAGGAAGAGCACCTGTGGAATCTTTAAACATTTTCAGGCATGTTTTAAAAGCTCATCTTTGTGGTAAAGATTTAATCTATCAAAGTGGTATAAATAATGTAGACATAGCCTTAGGTGTCACTTCTTCCCCTTGCAGGTCAGAAAATAACAGAAGTATCGCTCTGCTGCATTTTAAGGTATTGCTCAGGCATAGCAGCGACAGGATCCTGTGCTATCCTTGAATTATAGGCGTCTAACTATTTATTGCTGATTATTTATAAGGTCCAAAACCACACGTACAAACCACCAGGACTCTGACCAAGATAAAAACACAAATAGCAAAATAGTGTCTTATTAAAAACCAAAAAAGTCGCAGGTAACCTCTAGAGGTTTTGTTTTTCAAGTAATTAAATAAGAATTGCTTGGCAGAGGTTAGTTGATTTACGTTTGACAGATGACATGCCGCTTGATGAATATTTCTTGAAAACTAAATCTCTAAGACAAAGCCACCTCAGTTTTGGTAAGATTTAAGTCAAAAGACCTACAGTACGCAATAGAAAACACACTTCAATTATGCAGTTAAAATATTAATGTTTTGCCAAAAGTCTGTTTTCACAACAGAATCCAGCAGAGCAGCCGCAGTTATCGTAATGTATCTGCACCGGACTGTTTGCAGTTCCCCTGAGGTCCTCCTGCTGTTTGAGGGGTCAGTCATTAGCAGAAGAAAACACCTCCAAAACCTTCCTTCCCATTTTCATTAAGGATCTGTATTTTCTGTCATGTCTTGAAAGATGTCTTTTGGCCTGGACGTTGATGTATTGTGAATTCAGATTAATTTAATAAGTGTAAATTGAATTATTTCACACAGTACTGTACTTATCATACCACTTAGATGCAGAAAGGTATTTTCTACTATAGACATAATGATTGAGAAAGATAATAATTTATGGTTGAATGTTTCATATGAAAGTACAAGTGATGAAGTGCTTTATTCATTGCGATGCATGTTTACAGTCACAACCAATGGAGGCTCTTCGTGTGTACTTTCATATATAGGATGCACTTATAACACGTGGCGTTTCTTTCCCTCAAATATGCATGTGTGAAAAGATCATTTTATAGTGGGAAGACCCGAGTCGAAGAAGTCATATTTATCTGGTGCTGCTTCAAACGTCCTGAGTTGCATAAATATCATGCTTTGTGTGTTTGCCATGGACATATTCAAATGCACAAGCAGAGCTCCTGAATTGGGAAAGAAATTTAAAAAAGGGGGTTCAGTGAGTGTTTGGGTTTTCTGGGAATCATCATTGATTTGTGGGCATGCTTGGGAGGGGTTGGGGTCTCTACTTGGGCTGTGTGACAGAGAAAAGAAGCCTTCAAAGGAGGGTGAGATGAAGGGGAGCAGGGTGCTTTATGGGTGATGGATGTTCAGGCATGTAGAGAGGGACTGCTCTCTCCTTCCAAACTTGTATTGCTAGCCAAAACCAGATCAATGCAAGTGTAATGCTGACACTTCCCCACATATCTGAAGGAACTGCAAGCCTAGACTTAACAGACACCTGCTCTTACTTTAATTTAGCATTTCAAGATAACTAAGCCTGTGAAGGGTGTTGCTGTCATGTCTTGTTTGCATCACCTTCCAGGCTGCTGCATTTGGTTTGGAGAGGCGGCTCTGGAGGGTCTGCTCCGGAGTGACAAATGTCTCCAGGAGGAATTTCGGTGTCTCGCCGTGTAAAACAGAGCTAGCCCACCTGCATCGCGGCAGTTCCGAGGGCTGGCCCTCATTTGTTCAAAAGGTTCAAATATAGAGTGAAGATTCATGAAACATGCAGCTGAAACTTCTATCCTTGTAAATCTGTGTGATATTGTACACAAAAGGCTGTGGTGTCTGACCAGTGCAGTGCTAAATGTGCACATTTTGCAGTGTAGGAGTTTCTGCAAATACTCTCAAAACCCGCGTAACAGAGGCGTGACTGGTCAGAAGGCCATAAAGAATAAGAAATGGTGAACTGAGCTAATACGCAGCGTGGCGTTGCTGTCACGCATTCACCAGGTGCTTCTTTGTCTCCTGGAGTCTCAGATTGATTCTTTGTAAGCTTTCAGCCAGTGGTGCAGAAAGATGTACAAGGGACAAGGGAAAGAGAACAGAAAAAAACAGTGGTTTTTCTGCTTCCAGAACTGTGTATGAGAAAGACAACAACTGTTCTGCAGCTTATGGGGTGCATCCGTTGTTGAGGGACACGGCACAGCTGGAGATGTTGCGTGCGTTACCTTCTGCCTTGGGATGCACCACTTCCCGATATTGCCCTGGTAGGCTCTTGCATGGTGTGTTAAAGAAAGCCAAACAAGGGTAGGAAGGCAAATTCAGCTGGATGCACACTGGGGGGTCTTATGTGGTGGGAGACAGCCTTCAGCCCCGGTCCTTTGTGGTGCTGAAGAAGCACCGTGTCCCACCTGGGCATGAAACGTGACCTTTTATGTATTCTGGGCATCGTGCAGAAGCATTTGTATGCATAATGTAAGTGGCTTAAATTTATTACAGGTCTTGCTGCAATTACCGGAGTTGATCTTAACTCTGCCATCGGCAAATATAAGTAAGATATTATTCTATCAGCTAGGCAAAAATCCAAAGTGAGGAACACTTCCTAAAAGATGTAGAACGGTTAGAAATCTCTGTAAGCATTAGTGTAAAAGATTGGGCGATTTTGGAGTGTTAAAGGCGTGGCTGTATTGAAATAGAAAGTTGTAGATTAAAGAAAATAGCAGAGAAATGTCTGAGGCCTACCCTGATGTAACACAAACATTTTAGTGTAAAAGCCTAAGGTCAGCAACAGCCCTGATGCTTGAGATCACGTACATCTCCAGCCATACTCCTGGGGTGAAGTCTACCCCTTTAGGGTGTAAGTACATAAAAGTTATTTCTTTTAGCTCTTACGGATTTATCTAATCATACAACCAGGGTATCTCATCTCTGCCCATGAAAATGAGTTTTAATGTGTCTCCTGGTTTTTACTGTTGGGAAGGAAGTTGAAAAGTTCATGGGTTCCAGTCTTACCACGCAACTTTTCTGTAATGGAAGCCCACGCTGGCTTCAGACTTTGCATGTATTTTAGCTACCGGCTCTATAGAGATGAAATACTTCTATAACCCTGTAAAGTAATCCCTGTTAAACCTTGTAATGCCTGTAAAGTTTTCTAATTCCTGAAAACTTTTCTAACTCTCCTTTGGTTTCATATGCCAAGGATTGAATTTTTGAGAGGGAGGTATTAAAAACAGGGAGGGAAAAAAAAGAGCTATATTCAGTTTCAGGTACAAAAATTAATTAGCCAAAGAATTGCAATTTTAGTACTGGCAAGTCATACTAAATTAGCCTTCCTGTGGGAAAAAGAAAAGTTCAATTAAAACAAAAGACCTATCTGGAAGAGATTCTGCAAACTATTTCAAGTTCAGTTTTCAGACTGGGGACAGATTAACAGGGATATTAAGATTTTATCCAGGTCTGCATTTTAAGATACTCTAACTATACCAGTGTGCGAAAGATAAATAGAGCCAGTTCTGCATGACTTCTGGTATAAAAACTAATAGGATGGAAAATTACTACGAAGTAGAAAAAGTGCCTACATACTAGATAATTAACACTGCTTAGCTGAAGTTCTGTAGCAGTTGACTGACAACAAGGATATTCACTGTCTGTAAGCTGCGAGCAACGTCTCTGTCTTCACTTGGCTCGACAGAAGTGATTTAAGAACAGCAAAGGTAATAGGAAGGGCTGTACCCCAACAGTCCTTTAAGAAGGACCCACTCATACCCTTGTTGCCCATTTCAATGCTCTTTCTTATCTTTCCTTCCCCGCTTCTGCTATATTTTTTTGTGCTTTGGATATTTCTTCTACTTTCTTGCAGTGTTACAGTGCTCAACCAGATTCATCTCGTCTAGCCTGGAGCACTTATGGAGAACATAAGTTCATAGTGGTTTTAGTCCTGACTTCTCTGAAGGCAAACGAATAATTCCTGAGGTCCATATAGCCTAATTTAGTCCTTATGCTCTAAGAGCTTCCCAAAAGTTTAAATTAGCTCATTTAGTCTAGCATGGCAGGGTTAGGTTAGGTTAGGTTAATGGTTGGACTTGATGATCTTAAAGGTCTTTTCCCACCTAGACGATTCTATGATTCTATGATTCTAGATAAGTTGCCTTTCCACATGGGCATCTCAATTAAGTGCCTGACCTCAGGTGGATGAAGTCAATGACTCTGCAAGTTTGTTTGATGAAGCCA